ATTGAAATATAAATCAAAGTTAATAATTAATTTTAATCACATATTTTATGAAATTCACGACTTTTCAATTACACATTTCATCAACTTGTATTAAAATCTATTAAAAATCTAATTTTAATCCACACCAAACAGAACCAGGGGATACAATTTTTTTCTCTCTCTCTCTATTTCTTGGTATGTTTTGCCACTAATCATTGTTATGGGTTTATGCCTTCTCTTTCCTGGTTTATATAGTTTTATTTGTTTTAGAGGCTTAATCCTTCCCGTTAGGCTACAGGTACAGGAAAAAATTGACAATTTTTTTACAAAACAACGCTTGACAAATTTTCACTGATTTTGGACCCAGTAAGGCAGAAAATGAACCATATATGTGACAGTCTTAATTAACCAATTAGCTATAACAAAATGCTTATTGCATGGTGAGAGAGGAAGATATTTATTTTGTAATTATATTGTTTAAAAAAGTCGTAACATTTTCAAAATTTTGGTGGATGTTTTCAAAACCGACCCGACCACAACCTAATTAGTTGTCGATTCGATTAACCAACACAAATTTATAGATATTTGCTTGCGCAAGATTTTAACTACCGTGTGAAGATATATAATGATAACGTAAAATCAATCAATGTTCACTAAATTTTCAGTGAACTACTACTTACTTACCTACTAAATGCTAAGACTATAAATACAAGTAGAACTCTCGTTGAAAAACGAAAATCTCAAAAAATAAACAAGTGATGAGCTCATTCTTACGAAGGCTACACGAAATTTTGATCATCTTCTTTTTAATCCTTATTTTACTTCCAAAATCCCATATTGTCGTGAAAGTTTCTTTCTTAATTTCCCCAAATAGTACAGAAGTTGAAATTATTAGTAATTTTTCATGAATTTTCACGAAATGTGTGACCAATAAATGGATATTAGGTAAGATGTGCAGTTAAAAAGAAAAAATAATTTTTAATAACTTTTGATGTCAGAAGAACGTAAGCGTAGTTTTAAGATTATTTCTTAAAAAAACCAAAAGATTATAAAAGGGATTAGTAGTTGATCATAAGATACCTATCCCAGAAAAATCCATTATTTTATTTTTTGCCTACCATTGACTTCAAAGTATTGGACCCTATACATGCCCACTCCCATTGTAACATATAGGGATATTGTTAGTTGGACCTATGATCTAAGTTAGCTTGTTTTACTCTCATTAAAATAAAAAATTTTATTTCTCATACTCATTTTTAACCACATATTAGTACAATAAAATATTTTACACATAAATTCAAAATTTTTTTCTACTTTTAAATAATACATTTTTAAAAAAATCGTTATTCAAAAAATCATTTTCCAATTTCTCTTTATAATGACCATCAAACATGGGCTTAAATATTTTTCTGGATGTAGTGTTTGATAGCTGGATTGCAAAGGTAGTTAATCGATATCATGTTAATTTCTACGTGAATGTGCAGTAGTAAAAGAAGATTGTGCAAA